CCTTTTCACGTCGCCGTAGAGTGGATTCACCCTAAAACTGCAAGGCCCTTTCTTGATTGCATTTGGCGGACAAGCAGTGCTTGTGTCTCATTTATAGTGACTTATTTTGACCAGCTGTTATTTCATCGTTGCTTTGTTCTTGCTAGTGGCGCTGTTGAAAACTTATCCTATTTTGCTTCTCTCCAGACAGTCGTCCTAACAAATACTTCGGCCCCACTTACGCCCCCTTCCCCATCTGTTTTTTTATCCAGCGTTTCAACAGTTATCTTGAATCATCTGCTTTTATCACTTTTATTTAGACCAAATAAGGCTTTTTTGCCAGCGTTATAAAATTGAATGTATAGAGTATTTCTAGGAATAATTTTGAAAGATGTGAACGAGGCAAATAGGAACAAATCATATAGCAATGCAGCAAAAAGTATAGCACTGATATTACATCGTAAAGTGGATATTTGGGAAGGAGAATGGATCCTTTTTTCTTTCCGAATATGCTGTTATAGAAAAAGAAATCAGTTTGGGAATTGATTGAGTAGCCCATTTTGACGCGATAGAGAGCAGCACATGCTTACTTCAGTTTCGGGGACTCCTCCATTGTAATTTTAATTTTAGATGATGTGTATTTATGTAAAAAGTAAGGGTTAAAAGGAATAAAAGGAAGGTGAATAAGATAAATCGGATTAAAAACCTGAATAGGAATGTTTCGGTCCTTTAAGTTGCATACATTCCTGTTCAGTGCTGCAACTGGACCGCGTCAGTGTGGCGGTTGCAGCAAAAATAACTGTTTTTGGAATGTTAAAATTGCTAGCGTATTGATAGATGCCTCACCAAGAGTTGCGCAGTACTCTGAGCTGCGGGAGGTAAAGATAATTAACAGTAAGCAGAGAAAGATAAGGCAGCGAGCTTTTGTAAAAACAAAGCCATCCACACTGACCTTGCGCCGCCTAATGTCGCACTCACAAGTCATACCTTCTTCGAAAGGATTTTCTCGCCATCAGTGATAGGACTGCTCTTCGATCGATCGGCTAACTACCGAAATAAGCCAGACGCGTTTCGATTTGGGAGTTCCAGAACTTTTGTTTGTTGGCAACGAGTTTTACAGCATCTTGATAGTAATCTAAAAATAGTCAAGTAAACCATGAAAATACCATTTCCTTGTCTCGTTCGATTAAGTTTGAGCGGTGGAGTCCAGCGGCTAAACTCAGTCGAATACTTTGGGGATGGTAACAAGAGGGGGGGGG